ATTTTCTATCAAAAATATGTCAAATTTATGATGATTTTGGCCAAATCGAATGGCGAACATTCACGCTGGGGGGGGGGGGGGGCAGAATCTGCCCCCTCCCGTTTTTCGCCAATAACTTCTAAACGCGTTACGCCAGCGACGTCAAACTTTCAGTACCTTATCATACATCAATTTGACACGTTCCCTGAAAATTTGAGCGAAATCCGTCGGAATGTTTTGAGAAAATGACCTTTCAGTGGCGTCATGTTCGCCATTTTCGCCTCAAAAACGGCAAAATTTCAAACGCCGCTAAAATCTTCATTTTAAAGTTATACATGATTTTACTTTGTCTATCAAATGGCTATCTCGGTTTTCGAAAATTTTGGAGTTTGGCCCATTTTTTTCTTCAAAAAACTGACTTTTGGGAAAATAATTATACAATCCAAAATGTTGAGTGTATCGAAAAAAAACGGAACATCTGTCAGATAAGTGGTCTATGTGCACCTACATACCAATTTTTAGAAGAATCGGTTCAAAAATGTGGGAGTTATTCAAAATTTTATGACGTCACGACACACAATTTTTTTTTGAAAAATGAAGTTTTTGGAAGTTCTAAACCTCGTACGGAAACAAAAATAGCACCATTCGATTCGCCGTGAAAAACTGCATCAGATGACACCTTTTTAGGCCTTAACAACCAACTTCAAAATTTGACCTCACTTGACCTGACTTTGACCTGACCTTGACCTGAAATTCATCCAGATGTGGTCCATATCACTTATTGAGTGTGCCTATTGAATTATATGAATAATATGACCTATAAAACATGTGTCGCACATGCCCTTTTCTATATTTCGTTTTTGGTGACCTGACCTGACCTTGACCTTGACCTTTGCATGATATTGTATGCAACGAATATTGTCTTGGTAGCTAAGAACACGTTTTGGGCGAACACGTCTCCGAACTCTGCCGCCGGTGTACCGGTCTGTTGATTGGTCTCTCACACGCGCGCCACTGTCTCCCAGATGGCATCATTAGAATGTTCGTGACGGCACTCGTAGTAACACGTAGCCAGTACTGCCTTTCAGTTTATGGAAATGGGTCCCAAAAAAATTTTGATCGACTCCAAAAAGTTATTAACTTTGCCGCCCGAGTTATTTTCGGCCGACGTAAATTTGACCATGTCTCCGACCTGCGAACAAAACTCGGCTGGTTGTCCCCGCGCGGTATGGCCGATCACCAAACGCTTGTCATCGCACACAAGGCCATACAGCGTCGAGAACCCGAGGAACTAGCCAGAGGAGGTGGAGGCTGACACCAGAGGAGGTGGAGGCTGCCATAAACTCGATGCTCACCGGGTCATCGGCCGGCCTCGACGGCATGAGACCTCTACACCTGCGTCAGCTCATCTCCAGAGAAGCGGCGGAGAGTGGACGCCGTCTCCTCCGCTCTTTGACAGCGCTAGTGAACTTGTTTCTCGCCGGCCAGGTCCCCGACTTTGCAAGAGACGCGCTCTTCAGTGCATCGCTTTGTGCACTGAAGAAAAAAGGCAGTGGACTGCGGCCTATAGCGGTCGGGAGCGTGTACCGGCGCCTGTCATCTCGCATGGCCGCCCGGCACATGGCGTCTAGCCTGGGAGCTGAGCTCCGACCCATCCAGCTCGGTGTGGGGACACCCTCAGGCTGCGAGGCGGCGGTTCATGCAACACGCCGCTTTATCGAAATGAGCCAGAGGGCAGCCGCTCCACATGTGCCATAGTTCGTTTTTCTTAAGTTTGCCCCTCACTGTAAACGTCTTTTTGAACACAGCACGAGAATCAGGGGCTCCGCCACGGTTTTGGAATTGGGGGGGTCCGACCCAAAACACAAAACCTCACTGGCGGATCCAGGGCGAATTCACCCCCCCCCCCCCGCAGCGCCCGTAATCGATGAAAAAGTGCCGCTTTTCTACAGTACAAAGACAAGTTAACAATTTTATTGAAAGAATTTTGCTGTAAGCTGCAAAACCAAGGTTGAAATAGCATAAGGAATCGACAACCGAGAAGCGGAGCCCATTGGCACAGACATGGCGGCCTCTAAAATCAAAGTTCTTGAGGGATTGAGGCCGCTGTTGCGCGCTCCAAGGGCGCTATTAGCCATCAAACAACGCATTGGGCTCTAGTGACTGGCATTGGCTTAGGAAGGGACCTACATACATAGGCCCTCAGATATCTATGTATGCTTTAAGGCCAGTTTAGGGTCCTTCAAGGCCGTACTTAAAGGAAAGCGCAGTGCTTTAGTTTCTGTATGGATTTAAAAGCCCTGCCCTCACAGTAGCGGCGGAACACCTTCAATTAAGGGGCACTGCCGACTTTTGGTCCCATTCTTTCCATGCAGCGCCCATAGGGCTAATGTTAAAATGCCCAAATCAAAGGGGGGCACGGTGCCCCGGTGCCCTCCCCGTTCCGCCGCCGATGTGCTCTCATATAGCAGTATGGGGTCCTAGAGACTGATGTTCAGTCTCTGTGCTGAGTGTGACCTATCTTAACCTGAATATGGATATCAAAATGCTCCACTTGAATCAAAGGTCATGTAATGGGAATCCTATTAGAGTTGTTTCTTGTAGATATCCTACCTCTACCAACCTGCATTCAGAGCCCTGTAGGGGAGAGTGGGGTAATTTGGCCGCTTTTTTTTAAGAAAACGATGTAACTAAAAATCGACAACACATTTCTGCATTTTCTCAACGCTGACAGGTGTGGCATACATTTTACTTTCTTGGACAGTAAACTTGGAATGATTGAGTAACTACTTATATTGAAATTGTGGCGTATTACAAAGGTCTGCAAAGCGGCCAAATTGCCCCACTAGCAGGGTTATTTGGCCGGGGGTGTGGGACAATTTGGCCGGTGTTAGTTTGAGGCCATGATTTTTGTTATAGGCGAGTCAGCTTCACATTCAGCAATGATGCGTGTCTTACGACGCATTTGAAGCATTTTGGAGGTTGACTCAGCCGTCACAGGGTTCGAAAATAGTCAAAATTAGCGGCTCTAGATGCGATGACAGTTTTTTACGAATACCTTTTGAAGTAATTAAGTTAGGCCAAAACTAAAAACACCACCGTAATTCTCTCGTCATTCCGCATCGAATCATGTATGTGTTGACCTCGAGAGGTCAAGGTCAAGGTCAAGGTCAAGGTTGGCTTCAGGTCACGTTACCTCAGGTCGCTTGATCTCAAGGTTACGTGAGTTCAAGGTCATCATGTATATCATTCGATGCGCCTTGACGAGCTGAACACAATGAGACAATTTGCGCGGCTGTATCTTTTTTCGGTAAGTATTTATTAGCAAAAAAGCGTTAGGTAACCTTTAATGACGTCACATGCCCTTACAGCTGTCCAATAGGAAATATGGCATCAAGGTAGTCAAAGTTGGTCATGAATTATGTCCTTTATGGTATAATTGACCATGACAACTCGGCCGTCCCAGCATAGTGACTCTGAGCGCACCGGCCAAGTTGCCCCGCTAGTCCCGGCCAAATAACCCCACATTGCTATTCTGGAAAAAAGTTGTCTATGAAGTCGTCATGGCTGTACAGAACTAGATGAAATTGCTCTTGGAACCGCTAAACACCCTCAAAAATAGCTTTATAATGTTTTAATTAGTTTACAGCCCAAATACTACATGTTATACAAATTTTTAAACGGAAGTAAAAGTTACCATTTTCTAACGTAATTCACCTTTTATTAATTTTGAATAAAACTAAGAGGGGGAAAGTTTTGACATTTGTTCTCGAGTTAGTTCTGCCGATGACAAATGAATAGAGACTAAAGTTATTTCATTCACTTTTATCAGCTTTCGTACAGGTGGGGGCGGCCAATTTACACCACCGGCCAAATTACCCCACTCTCCCCTACAGATTATTGCAGATTACCTTAGAACGATGTGAGGCTGCTTAGACTAGTATGGTACTTGTTGCGGACGGAAAATTCACTGACCAGGCTCAGGGCTTAAACACACTGCTCTCTTGACCTTCGAATCTATTTGACCTCAGATTCAATCACGAAATTCACGAGCGATCCACGAATGATCTCCCGGCATGACCTTTCAACGAAGAATGGGGGCCAGAAGCCCGCGAAAAGGATCGCATTTGAGCCCCCTTCAATCATTGGCGAACAACTACTACGCGTCCGATTATAACCAATCAGGACAAGAGTAACAAACGACGAAAATCTACCGAAATGTAAACAAAAAGAGCGACATAAACGGCGCAATGACACAAATAACTGGCGCAAGCGTTGCCAAATGCAGCCATATCCTCTACTGTAGTACATTTTATCTACTCTAGGACTCGGTACTCAGAGCACCTAGATGGCACCACTATCGGCCCAGCAGTGGGCACCACCATCCAAGCGGATAGCCCACAGCCGCAGCAGTCGACAAGACGGAATCCGTAACACTCCCCACCTTAGAGCGTTAACCTGCTTACGATCTAACCGAAACAAGCAATGCAAACAACACACACAATACAAAAGCAATCGCACACAAGTTTTCCTACTCGGAAACACAGCGCGCGTCGAAACCACACACAACGCCAATCAGTGACTACTACCGCATATCCTACCTACTCAGCTACTTCTAAATCGTGCAGCCTTTGCACCGGTCGCGTGCGGACACCCCTCGTTGTCCTCACGTCCGCCGACCGCACAACACCGTCAGAGCTAGGATGCAGACGCTGTACTACACCCATCAGCCAGGACAGTCTCGGGACATTATCCTCTCGGATAAGTACAACCGAACCTATCTGGAGCCTACCTCGAGACTTGAACTTCCTCACAGAGTGAGGCAAGTTCTTCAGATAGTCAGCCTGCCACACATCCCAGAACCTCGAGAGTAAATCCTGGCGCTGAAGCTCCCTCTCTGCCAAAGAGGACGCCGTGACCTCAGCGGAGTCATCCACCACGGGAACACGGGCACCTGTCACTCCACCTGACAAAAAGTGACTCGGAGTCAGGGGGTGAGCAGCGTCAAAATCGTCACTGACAAACGTCAGAGGACGAGAATTCACCGCAGCCTCGACCTCAAGAAGCAGAGTCTCCAGCTCCACCTTCGAAAGTACGCTCCTGCCGAGCGTCTTCTTCAGGGCGCTCTTGACTGTGCGAACCAGCCGTTCCCACCAGCCTCCCCACCAAGCGGCTCTGGGGGCTATGAACTTCCACTCCGGGCTGGCGGGTCCGAACTCGGACAGCAGACTGGCAGCCGCACTCTTAAACGTACAGGCGTTGTCAGAGTATATGAATGACGGCATGCCACGCCGGGCACAGAACCTCCTGAAAGCCAACAGGAAGTCCGACAGCGACATAGAATCGACCAGCTCCAAATGAATCGCTCTGGTCACACCACACGTGAACAAACAAATGTAGACCTTCTGTCGGGAAGGACAGAAGAGCGGGCCGCAGAAGTCCACGCCTGTCACAGAGAAAGGCGGAGCCTTACTTGCCCTCAGAGCCGGGAGAGGCGCCACCGGCGCGTTCAGAGCGGCAGCATCCTGTCTCTGGCACGCAACGCAGGCGCGCTTTACTCTCTTGGCTGCTCTCCGGGCTCCGACGATCCAGTACTCGCGTCTGAGAGTCGTCAGGAGCGAGTCAACACCAGCGTGCTTCAACAGCACGTGCTGAAAACTGATGATCAGGTCAGCGAGATGACCCTTGGGGATCAGAATGGGACACTTGTCACCAAGAGTCATGTCAGAGTTCACCAGTCTACTGCGCACTCGCAGCAGCCCCTGCTCGTCCAAGAACGGACGCAAAGATGCAACTCGGGAGCCGCCGCTAAGAGGCTTGCCTCGTCCCAGAGCATTCAGTTCTGTAGGATAGGCTTGCAACTGGGTCAACTTGATGAGACACATCTTTGCCTCCCTCAGCTCGACAAAACTCAGAGCTGGGAGGTCACGACTTCTACCAGAAACTCGCCGCTCTTTCAACCTCTTGATGAACCTCAACACCAGAGCGGCGACACGAATGGCCTTTGTCAGAGAGGAGAACCGCTCTACCTCAAAGACAGGCTCCGAAGACGAATTGGCAGCGACAACAGTGGCCGCCAGCTGAGCTGCTGCGACCGGAGCCGGGGCACCAGTAGCCTCTGCAGACAGCTCAGACTCGATCAAGTCCGGCCCTGGGGGGAGGGGAAGGTCAGCTGCACCATCACCACCCTCTCTCAACCAGTCCGGGCCAGTGAACCAGCACGAGTCCGTCAGTGCCTTGGCATTGACACCTCGCGTGATCAGATCAGCCGGGTTGTCTGATCCAGGACAGTGAACCCACTGAGCAGGGTCAGTCAAACACTGGATCTCTGTCACTCTGTTGCGAACAAACTGCTTCCACCTGGACGGATCACCCTTGATCCATCCGAGCGACACCATCGAGTCCGTCCAGCACCGGTACGGAGAATCCGCTGGCAAGTTGAGCGCGCGGAACACAAACCTGAGCAGTCGGGCAGCCATCAGGCTGGCGAGCAGCTCGAGACGCGGCAGGCTGACCCTCTTCAGCGGAGCCACTCGGCCGCGAGCGATCACCAGAGGCGTCACCACTGATCCGTCACTCAGCGTCAGCTGCAGGTACACCACGGCACCGTAGCCCACCTCTGAAGCATCACCAAAGGAATGCACGGTCAGAGCACTGACATCACGCCACCCTTCACAACAGTAGCTCCGTGGCACAGTGATCCCCTTCACAAGTCTCAGACCGTTCAACCACGTCATGAACCTGCTACAGATATCGTCAGACACAGGTTCGTCCCAGTCGAGACCCAGACACCAAGTCTCCTGGAACAGCTGCTTCAGAGTCATGATGTAGGGAGACAGGAAGCCTAGCGGGTCGAACAGTCTAGCGATGAAAGACAAGATCACTCTTTTAGTCACCCTCACCTCCTCGGGAACACAAACCCCATTGAACGAGAACACATCATCACCGGGCTTCCACTCGACTCCCAGGACATGGTGACTCTCGGCGGCATCGTCTGAACTAGACAGCGCGGCCGCTTTGTCCAACACGACAGAGCTGTTAGAGCTCAGCTTAGTCAACTCCATCCCAGCCTGAGCCAGGACCTCCTTCGCCTCAGAGTACAGAGCTAGTGCGTCATCCTCAGAGTCAGCACCAGATAAGAGGTCATCTACATACATGTTCTGACCAAGTTCCGAGACCGCACGTGAGGGAGGACACGAGAGCAGGTGGTGTCTCAGCGTGGCACCAAGCAGGAACGGGCTACTCTTGACCCCAAAAGTTACCCTGTTGAAGGACATGGTCCTCACGACATCATCCTTGTGCCACAGGAACCTATGAACGTGCTGATCACGCTCCCTGAGTCCAATCATGAGGAACGCCTTGCGGATATCCGCTGACACCGCGAACCTCCATCTCCTAAACCGCATCAGCACCTCAACCAGGTCTGGCAGTAGGCACGGACCGGTCTCCAGGCAGTCATTGAGACTCACGCCATTGGGTCCCTTGGCTGACGCATCAAAGACAGGCCTAACCTTAGTGGTAGCACTGGACTCACGCACTACGGGTCGGTGCGGCAGGTAGAACACAGGACCATCCACCTCATCACAAGACACCTCAGTAATGATCCCCTCAGCCTCAAGCTCCTCTAGGGCACGGTCATAGGCTGCATGTAACTGAGGGTCCTTATCTAACTTCCTATCGAGGCTAGCTAGTCTAACCTCAGCAGCTCTCCTGTTGTCCTCCAGACAGAGCTGCTTCTCATGCTTCCACGGAAGCTGAACTACATATCTCCCATCTTGGAAGCACACAGACGACTCAAACTCCTGCACGACTGGGTCCTTAGACACATCCTCCTCAAACGGCGAGTCTGAGATCCCTACACTGTCTAGATCCCAGAACCGTCTCAGTCTATCCTCAGACACATCTGACATGACGAGGAACTGAGTCCCAGTCACAGTCGGGTGACCCGCAGGCTCACCAGAGGGCCCAGACAACACCCAGCCGAACACGGTCTGCTGAGCCACCGGACCCGACCCATCCACCCTGATGAAACCGTTCCCCATCACCTGCCAGTAATAGTCGAGTCCGATGAGAATGTCCACAGAAAGCTGTCGACCATCCTGTGGAGGATCGGCCAACTCCAGGTTGCTGAACGCAGCCAGCGCACTGGACGGGACCGAAGGCCGAGCGAGCGGAGCGCAGATCACTGGAACTTCAGCGACCTCTACCTCCACCTCTGTGGGCTGAGACACACAGGCACCTGACATCTTGACACAGTAGATGTTTCTAAGCCTAGAACCACTCTCGCCCCCACCAAACGCTGCATATGACATCTCACGTGAACCGATCCAGTCAGGGGCACACCTGTTCACCAAGGCAGACGAAATGTATGACCGGTTGGATCCAGTGTCCAACAGCACAGTAGCCGTGGTGGTACCCTTTCTCCCCTTCACAATCACTGTGGCAGTAGGGGACACCACACTCAGAGAGGGCGACGAGCATGACAAGTTAGTGTCCAGTGACGGCTTCACAGAGGGACCATCAGCAGCAAGGGATGGACGATCACCCTGCTTAAAACACGACACAGCATGGTGCTTACCATTACAGTTTTTGCACCTCTCACTGCAGTTATACCCCTTGTGGCCCATCCTCAAACAACGAAAACACATACCTGCCTTCTGTATCTTGGCAGGTCGGTCACCCACCGCCAGCTTCAGCAGGTCTGGGCAGCTAGCCGTCTGATGACCACCACTGCAGAATCCACAGGCTGCAGCTGAACTTGACGTCTGCAGGGCAGCAGCAGAGGCTGCGGGCCTCTCCCGCCTGGCACGCCGCTCCTGCCGCAGGCCAGGAAGCTGCTCAGCTGCAGGTGCTGCCAGACCACTGAAGGCCTGGGACCTCTCCAGGCTGTTGATTTCCTTCTTCAGGAACTGAAGCAGGAAGTCCAGGTCACTTTCCTTGCCTCCTCCTTCTCTTGCCCAGTTCTTGCGGACCTCTTCTGGCAGCCGTGACACTAAGAGCGGTGTCAGGACCACTCCGTACCTCTCTCCTGTCACCTCCAGTGCCTCCAAGCTCCTCACGTGGACAAGAAGCTCATCTTGCAGACACTTCAGCGACAGCTTCTGCTCCTGCCCTACTTGTAGAAGGGCCTGGATGTGTCCGAAGATGATTCGCTCCTTCCGACCGAACCTCTCCTGGAGGATCTCGCAAGTGTGTTGGTAGCTGTCCTTGCAGAGAGACATACCCTCCACACACCGCTGAGCTTCTCCCGACAGCAGGGAGCGCAGGTAGGTAAGTTTAGTTACCTCTGGCATGTCACTTTTGTCCACTGTCACTGAGAACGCCTCCCAGAACTGGGGCCACTTCAGCACATCCCCAGCAAACTTGGGCAGCTGCAGCTTGGGCAGCCTGACCTTATCCGAGGAGGAACAGCTGGATCCAGCCTCGGCACTCTCCTCCATGTCTCCCAGCAGCTTGATCGCTCTCTGCCTGGAGAGCACGGCCTGGTCCCTGACCTCACCAGCTGCTTCGATGGCAGCAGCTATGTCAGTGTCGGGCAGCTCCATCTCGTAGTCGGCCTCAGCCGAGTCGAAATCTTCCAGCCGCTTTTTAAACTCGGACAGCAAATCACTCAGAGGCAACTTCTGCACCTCCTTGCTAGACAATACACCTTCTAGCTTGGAAACAGTTCTTGTGAGCCAGCCCTGAGCACTTATTTTCCGCCGTCGAAGTTTTTCTAACTCAGCCATGCTGACTGACTGAGTCCCGAGATTTCGGCACCACTGTTGCGGACGGAAAATTCACTGACCAGGCTCAGGGCTTAAACACACTGCTCTCTTGACCTTCGAATCTATTTGACCTCAGATTCAATCACGAAATTCACGAGCGATCCACGAATGATCTCCCGACATGACCTTTCAACGAAGAATGGGGGCCAGAAGCCCGCGAAAAGGATCGCATTTGAGCCCCCTTCAATCATTGGCGAACAACTACTACGCGTCCGATTATAACCAATCAGGACAAGAGTAACAAATGACGAAAATCTACCGAAATGTAAACAAAAAGAGCGACATAAACGGCGCAATGACACAAATAACTGGCGCAAGCGTTGCCAAATGCAGCCATATCCTCTACTGTAGTACATTTTATCTACTCTAGGACTCGGTACTCAGAGCACCTAGATGGCACCACTATCGGCCCAGCAGTAGGCACCACCATCCAAGCGGATAGCCCACAGCCGCAGCAGTCGACAAGACGGAATCCGTAACAGTACTCGAAAGACCGGCTTGGACCCCCCCCCCCCCCCGACACTATCGGATGACCTCACATGGAAGGGGAATTCTCAGATCGATTTGAAACTCTTTTAGGGCAGTCAAGGTGTCAAGGTGTCCTGAAAGCTGGACCGCCCTCACGAAATGATAGCCAAATTATAGCATACCTAGCTAATCTTAGCAATCTTACACTAACACGCATGCATAGTAATAACAAAATGGAGCAATGATATGACACTCCCGTATGGGTTGGCGAGTGTTGAGTTCTTTGTCTGTCACAACATTAGGTATGATGGCTCCCTGCATTTCTAGATCTCAAATTCCTTAGCTATACGACTGTCAACACATTATAAATGCATATTGTGAATGATTTAGTCATTCTTAACGCGAACACAAGCTTATAGGTATCCGGAATATTGGGGGGTACTGTACCCCCCAGGTAAATTATTGGGGGGTCCGGACCCCCGCGTACCCCCCTGTGGCGGAGCCCCTGACGAGAATTGCTAGCTGAATTACTGAGAAAACTGGTTGGCGCACATTAATTTCACCAGATTTCACAGACGATCAATTTTATCAAATTTGTTTACTATTTCACAGACTCATAGCTCGTATTTACCCATACCTACAGCTCCACAGTGATAGACGACTTCTCAGGAATTATGTCTGAACTAATTAATAAATTGCACGGTGTTTAATATTAACGTTACATCGTTGGTGTTCAAAACTTATTTTGAAAATATTACTCACATATCCAATACAATGTGCGCCAACCAGTTTTCTCAGTAATTCAGCTAGCAATTCTCGTGCTGTGTTGAAAAAGACGTTTACAGTGAGGGGCAAACTTAAGAAAAACGAACTATAGTCAAGATCGACGTAGCCAACGCGTTCAACTCGGTGCGGCGCGATGTCTTATTGGCATGCATCAAGCAGTGCTGTCCCGAAACCTACCACCTAGCCTATCAGGCCTACGGCGCACCAAGCGCTCTCATCATGGATGGCCAGGCAATCACCTCAGCATGTGGCGTGCAGCAAGGCGATCCCCTCGGGCCAGTCGCCTTCGCTCTAGCCATAGACCCCTGCGCCAAAGCTGTGACAGCGCCTCTGAACGTTTGGTATCTCGATGATGGTACAATCGCCGGCCCCGCCGACACAGTCGCATCTGACCTGGTAGCCCTTCGCTCAGCCCTGTCAGCAGCTGGCCTCAACCTGAATGCTGCGAAATGCGAAGTAGCCTTCCTCGGTGCACCAGACTCAGACCTCCGTGGTCCCGCTATAAGCGCCATCACAGCCGCTCTGCCGGACGTCAAGGAGACCCAGCTCGACAACCTTTTTCTGCTCGGGTCTCCTCTGACAGACGGTGGTATCGCGGCAGCTGGAGAGGCCGCCTCAGCACTGGTACGGAGGCTCTGCGACCGGTTGCGTGAGCTGGACAGCCACACAGCCGTTTTCTTCCTCGCTCACTACGCTTCCGCTCCGCGACTGACATACCTACTGCGCTCCGCACCAACCTTCAAGGAGGAACACACGCTCCGCGACACCGACGAGGTCGTTCGGAGTTGTCTTGAAGCCGTCTCGAACGTGGCCATCAGCCCTGAAGCGTGGGTACAGGCGTCCCTTCCTGTCAAACTCGGAGGACTCGGCGTTCGAGCAGCGAAAGAGCTAGCACTACCAGCCTACATCGCATCCCTAAACGCAGCCATGCCACTGATCGAGCTGATCTGCCCAGACGCGCCCAACGGAGAGCCCTCTACTGCCCTGGAGACAGCAGTTTGTGCATTTAGGCAGCAAACCGGATTGGCCGGGTCGTCAGCAGACATGCTCCCAACTGGAGATATGGCCAAGTCTCAGCGCGCCTGGGATACCCTTGCCGCGACAGTCACAAGGGACCGGCTGTTGCGCTCCGCCAACCACGTCCACCGCGCGCGCCTCCTCGCCGCCTGTCAGCCCCACACGGCCGCCTGGATACAGGCTATACCAGTGCCCGCTCTCGGTCTCCATCTAGACGAAGAGACCGTCCGTGTAACCGTCGCCTCGAGGCTCGGCGCCCCGATATGCGAGCCACATCGCTGCCGCCTATGCCACCGACAAGTCAGTGAGCTCGGTCTCCACGGATTATCTTGCCCGAAGAGTGCTGGGCGGCACCCACGACATGGCCACTTAAACGACGTCATGCGCCGTAGCCTGGCCAGTGCCGGCTTCCCGGCCGTCCTCGAGCCCGCCGGCCTTGACCGGGGAGACGGTAAAAGGCCAGACGGTCTGACAATCTTCCCGTTCCGAGATGGAAAGTGTCTAACATGGGACGTGACGTGTGTCGACACCTTCGCAGACACCGTCCTGGTGCAGTCAGCGCTGAATCCCGGCACGGCAGCGCGTCTGGCTGAAGAGCGCAAAAGGCAGCGTTACTCCGAACTAGCTCGACGCTACATATTCGAGCCAGTAGCACTGGAAACCAGTGGCGTGTACGGACCATCTGCTGCTGCCCTCGTCCAAGACCTGGGTCGACGCATATCCGCGCAGACTGGCGACCGGCGAGAGACGGCGTGGCTGAGACAACGGCTGTCAATAGCCATCGCCCGCGGTAACGCTGTCTCCATCTTGGCCACCGCTCCGTACACTGGTTCGGAGGCGGCACACAAAACGAGCCCGACCGCACAGTCTGGCTTCACAGTGCAGCCCCAAGCAGGTCAAAAGGCCCTCCAGCGCGCTCAAGAGCGCCAGGTGGTGCACGGAACAGCCGAGCTGGAGGTGACGGCGCGCCGGGAGGAGGACCAGCGCAGCCGCCCAAACGTCGAGTTTTGCAAAATGGCACCAGAGGAGGAGGTAGCGAGGTGGAAAAGGACTGCTGAGCAGGAGTCTCACGAGAGAAAACGGCGCTCCGAGCAGGGTCACGGTGTGTCCCACCACGGGCCACCGCTTGATGACGGTGCCGGCATTGGAAGAAGACCAGAACGCTCCCACTCACCTCCGCTTATCGTGGAACCGGGTAACGAGCAGCCCGACCTCCGAACTTGCGCCGCCCGTGTTCAGCCGCGAAACTCAACCACGCGCGGGCAACCAGAGCGCTGAAGTTCAGAATTCGGGCCGCTCTGCTCCTTCCATCGGACCCACGACACCAGCGCTCACCGGCCTCAAGAACCTCGGCAATATTTGTTACATGAACGCCGTGGTGCAGTGTGTCAACAGCACGCCCGGCCTGAGCGAGTTCCTTGTCCACCTGGACTGCACAAGCTACAGCGGCGAGCCGACGCACGGTGAAACGGTACAGGAGCTGGCCGCCATCGTCAAGGCGCTTTGGAGTGGACGTCACAAGTCAGAATCGCTGCACGACCTCAAAAACGCCATGGGCCGACGTCACGCCTGTTTCCGCGACTCGGCGCAGCAGGACGCACACGAGTTCCTCCTATGCCTCTTGAACTCTTTGCACGAGGAGCTGACCGACGCATCCCGAAAACAAATGCTCAGAGAGCAGGGTAATGACGGTGTCCCAGACTCCCGTGCCATCAAGCTCCTCCAGGACGACTCCCAGAGCCGCAACACCAGTCTCCGATCTCGAACCTGTTCGGGGGCCAGTACAAGTCCACGCTGCGCTGCGTCAGCTGCGGGAACCAGTCGGCGAAGTTTGAGGCATTTTCACACCTCTCCGTGCCGATGCCTGCCAGGGCCAGTCACTAGTCAGTGCTCGCTCCACGAGTGCATCCAGCTTTTTGTGGAGGGCGACACAATCAGCGGCTGGACTTGCCCGGAGTGTCAAAGCAGCGACGGGGCCACCAAGCGGCTTGACATCTGGCGTCTTCCACCAGTACTGATCGTCCACATACAGCGCTTCTACGACGACGGCGCGTGGAAGAAAAATCAGTCCAGCGTCCTTTTTCCGTTAAAAAACCTGGACATGTCACCGCATTTGGCTACCGAGGATGCGCACCAACAGCACCACAGCTTTCACCTGTACGGTGTGGTGAACCATTTCGGTTCCATTGACAGTGGCCACTACACACTTCTTACACAGCCTTCTGCCGCGCACCCAATACGGACAGATGGCACAAGTACAACGACCATCAGGTGCACGAACTGAGCGGGGGGAGCGTGCGAAGCTCGGCCGGATACTTGCTGTTTTACTCGGCCATCGACTGCAGCGGCTGTAGGCTCTGCCACTTCCGCCCGTAGCCGAGCGAACGTTCAGTTCGTCCTCCATTCTTGAGGACACTGTGAGTTTGTAACGTGACCGCAATGATTGTGTTATGAAAATATATTTTATTATTGTCTAAAAAAAAATAGATTAGCACCCGCGGATACGGATTTTGAGCAGTAATCGCCACGCATTTTGATTGTGGATCGCTCTTAACACGCGCAGTGGAAGGGTTGCCAGTATGTACTACGCCCAGTGGAAGGGGGGGGGCGGATGTCGCCCCCCCCCCCCTAAGATCTCAGCTCCCACTGGAGCTAGAAAGACGAAATTTGGAGGGTAGGTGGGGGCCATG